GCTCCACTTGCTCCCAAGAGATGACAGTCGTGTGAGCCGCGAATTACTTGCGTCATCTCTCACGGACTCCCAGCCTAAAAACAAGTATAACGCCCTGCCAGATTCATATTCGGTGCTGGGGCTCAATTTGGCCAAAGCAAGTCGCCAATTGGGAAACGCACAAGCCAACGCGTCATCCGACGCCATCGCCGAGCAGCCAGATGGCTGAACTATCATCACGCCCGAGTCCACCACGTGTGATGAACGTTCAGTAGGTCACGGCCCACACGCCGGTCATCAAGCAATTAGCGCACAAGCGGCCAATTATCTTTGATAGGGGAGTTCTTAAATGTCGTAAGTATGCAGTATCATAGTGACTGCATCCTCTAAATACTGCAGCTTCCTGTGCACGTATTACTCGCTTCTGCTAATGTCTCTGCTGGAGAATCCGCGACGGACTTTGAAAGGTCAGGCTAATAAAAGTCTTGTCCCAGCGATCGCCTGGTCTTCTCCTCAATTTCTTCCTGGGACTCGCATATTCGCTGGTATAGATAAAGAGTACTTACGGCGTGCACCTTTATCTATGCAAGGCTGAAGGCCTGAATTGACTTCACTTTTTGCAGTGGCGAACAATTTAGTAGTACTGTAGTGGTCGTGTCTGTCCGACGTCCTCCTTACTCTTGACACCACAGACGAGGTCACTCAGAGCTCGGGACCTCGCGCGCAAGCAGTTTCCCGCGTGCCTCGAGGCATGCGCAAACGGACGGGCGACCGTCACTGCTGCCAGACGCAACTGACGCGCACCCAAACACACGCACCAAGTCTCCCCCATTCTGGCCTCAACCAACAGTGGCTTGATCTCAATCCATCCAATGAGATTCCCGCTTTAGTAGACTGACCTCATTTAGTAGGTTGGCCTCAATCCGTGGGACAAAGACGGCAATGCGGTGTCTGCCTTCAAACCTCACGCCGGACCCGACCCGACTAGAGAATGGTTGCACTAGTCCGCGAGTCAAATCTCTTTCCATCTACTCTCCTATCCTTCTGCAGAATACACTATACCTGACAATCCGGCCTTCCCACCGTCCTCTCTCCTCACCAAAAGGAACCATGGACCTAGAAGATCGAGGCCGTTAGGGTTTAACCTTCTTAGCCTTAACGCCCGTCGATAGTACCCTTTACTCTACACCACGTAGTGTAGATGCTTCCGTCCTATCAGTAGCCTAGGTATATCGTCAGTGTCGTTAGAGTCGATTAGCTAGC